TCTGCGATATCTTTTTTTTGTCTATTCTATCTCCGTATCGCTGCAAAAGAACATTTATAACAAAGAAAAAATGAATATGGTTTTACAAGTGTCTAAATTAACTATAAATTTAATTGCATTGTTAATTGAATTAATGTAAAATTTACCTTCTAAACATTTGTAAGTTAATGTGGCACTGAAGATTTCTTTCTGAGAAATTTTGGTTTTCCTACCTTTGCCACTGTAATTTTCTTGCACTGCTTTTTTTATAATTTCTGAAATGCAAGCAGTTATACATTTTTCGTAGTCTTCACATCTATTTGCAAATCCTCGCATAACAACTTGCTGTTATGCAAACCGACAATTATTCAACAATTTTGATGATTATAATGATGAAAACTTTTTTTGTAAAATGACAAAACAAATTTTACAAGTTTGCAGTAAATAGTTATTCCATAAAAACTTTTTTTCTTCAATTAAAATAATTTCATTCTTTTAGTGAAATAAATTTGCAAATTGAATGAAAAATAGAAGAACAAGAAAAATTTATTGTCTTAAATTATACTAACTTTTCTCTCAGTTTACTATTTTTGCTACTTACTAATGCATTTTGCTTTTCCAGCCCTGAATAATAATCTGGTGTATCCTCTGGGCTTTCTTTATTTCCTTGATTAGTTAGTGCTAATTCTTCCTCAAATTTTAAAAAGTCCTCCAAGTTTTTTATAGGAAGATCTGGGAGTATATTTCGCAGTGATGGAATATCAGCACATTCGATTCTGTTTGAATTGGCTACTATCACATTCAATTTTCCCATGTGCTTGTCTATATCGTGCAATATACTTCTTTTGATACTTTCTATCTTGCTTAAAAGTTTTTCTTCTAACTTATTTATTCTGGCATCGATGTAATTTGCTATAAAAACTGAAAATTTAGAAAAATCGATTAATGATTACGTACTTTGATAAATAAATAATAATATATATAAATAAATAAATAATAATATATTAATAATATAGTAATAATATAATATTATGATATATTGATAATATAATGATACCTCTTAATGGATCATCATTCTTTCCTTTCAAATATGTTAAGCGAGAATCTGCTACACTCATTACGTTTAGATGTTTTTTACTGTTCTTATCGTGTTTAATCAATTCATCTGAAAGTTGAATATTTTTGTGAGCACATAAAATATTGTACATTATATTATAATTTATATAAATATATTAAGAAAATAAAGCTGAAGAGTTATGAAAACAACCTGGTTGAAAATAATGATTCGATGAATTTTCAAATCTACATGAAAGTTCTTCACGCTTCTTTTTGTTTTCGAGCAATTTTCCAGTATGCTCAAATTCTTTTTTATGAGAATTATCTGTTGTAAAAATATAATAGTTTTTTGATAATTAAATAAAAAAAGTTTGAAATCAAGAAAATAAAAAAATAGCAGTTATTGTAAATGAATAATTACTCTTTTGTGAGTAATTGGCATAAGTAAAATGTGATGTTTTCTCATTATTAGTGTTTTCTAGCAACTTACGATTCCCTTCATTTTCCTCACTCTCGCTGTCGCTACTTATGACGTTTTGTATTCTTTTATAGTTTCCGTAATTCTCTTTTCTTTTTTTACTTTCTTTTCTATTGAGATTGAGAGTTAGAGTATGTCTATTTTCTGAAAAAATATAAAATATCATATAAATCAAATATCACGTAAATTAAAAGAAAGTAATCTAAATCTCGGTTGTCACTTAGTCTCCAAGTAAGTAAAACAAAATGAGATATACGTATTTACTTGACTTTGAAAAAGTAGAACTCTCCGAAGATTTCAGGGATCCATCCGTATCTTGAAAATTACTTGAATTGTCACTAGGATTGTTGTTTATCACCAGGTTTATGAATACGATGAACAATTTTGTTATCTTTATGTATGCTTCTACTATCATCTCGACTATCATCACTGCAATTCCAAATTTCCGTATTTTTCTCTTTTTCTACTGTGGATAGATAAAGTTCAGACTCTCGAAGCAAGCGTCTTGCCACACTTCTTGATAAGATAAGATCACTTTTTTGACGTCCTCTTTCAGAATCTGAATCTGTAGATTCTAATGTTTTATAGGGTCGAAAAGCGCGGTGAAGTCGACGCAAACCTTGTTCGTAATTAGCTAGATATGAAGAAAAGTCATCAATTGCATAAGATTCTTTATAAAAAGAGCTAGCTTATTGAATATTTACCTGCAGATCCTAAAATTTTGTAATCAGAATATTTTTACCAATATTTATCGGGCTCAATTTTTCTTTCCACCCATTCTT